GGGGGGGGCTCACCTACAGATGCCGCACTCCACAGAGCCCTTGTTATTACAGAGGCCTTGGTCCTGGCTCCTGTCCCTGCACTTGCACTCACACTGGGGAAGTACCCTCACGGTCACCGTGTCCGTGAAGCCCAGTGCCCGGATGACAAATGACTGCTCCTGGATGCACTCTGTGGCTGTGACCTTCACCTGAAAGGTGACCTGTGTGGGAAACAACAGGGATCAGGAGAGGTCAGGACACCAGGATCAGGACCCTGCTTCCAGGCATGAAGGATGCAGGCCTCTTAGGGGTGCCAGGAGGGAGTTGATGGAGGTTGGGTCAGGGGAAGTACACAGAACATTGGGGGCGCCTCTGGAACTTGGGACTCGAGATGAGAAAAGATTGAGATGCTGGAACGTGGTGGTAGCAGGCCCACGGTGCTCCCCGACCCGCCATCTCTGGCTGGGTCTTGGGCTGGGGGGACGGTTTTTAGAATACTTTCTATCACACAAGCATTCAAAAGGACTTTCAAACGACTTTTTAAGAGACATGTACTTTGTCCCTAAGTCCAGCACACTGAGGTGCCCGAATCCCACAGGAGGTCCTAAGTTCTGAATGTGGAATTGTTCCGACCCTGGATAAAGGGTCAAGATCATGTTTGAGAGGACGGGGTGGGACAGAGCAGAGTCCCTGCCAGCCACAGGCACATTGGAGGTGGCCACCAGCACTGAGCTTCAGGGGATGCCAGCTTGTCAAGAGTAAGGCACCCCCAAATCAATTTCAATGAATTTCCAAATATAGAGCAGAAATATCAGGAAGAATGTATGTATATGAAGCAATCAGCCAGCCACAAGATGGATTTTGGTAAAAATTCACATGTAACATTTAGTAATTAACATATTTGAAACAATTCTAATGTCATATATAAAAAAGCAATGCAAGCAGGTATTTTGCTGAACATTATTAGTTCACAGCCAGTGAAAGAAAAAAATTTAATTGTTATGGTCATGATAACTTTAAAATATTAGAGAAATAAGTCAGTGTTTGTTTCTAATCATCTGCCTGGCCCATGCTTTAATGTGTATTCAAAAAACGAACAAAAAAATAAATCAGGAAAACCAACCCAGATGTGTAGTGTGTGGAAAGAATGCCCTTCTCCGAGGGAACGCACTGTTCCAGTGTCTGCTCCCAGGGGGCACTGCGGACCTCGCGGTCATCGGGGCTACACTAGGGGCACCTTTGGTGTTGATAAGATGCTCTGTGCCAAGGTGGCGTGAAGTATAGCACCTGCTCCCCCTTAACAGGTAAGATATAAACTTACACACGTACCATTTTGCCTCAGAGGGGATTTTAAAGGAAGGGAACTGGACCTCTGGAGGACCTTGGCTTTTGCCCCAGACTTGTCCCTGAGCTTTCCATCTGCCTGGGTGCACCTCCTCCTAGCTGTCACTGGGAGAATGCTGGGATGGAATCTCACCGGAACGTTGATCTGGACACCGTCGCAGTCCCCTTTGGGCTGGTTCACCTGTGATACTCCATTACTGCAGAAGGAGTCGTAGGTGACTTTCAGGGTGTCGGGAAGGGTGTTGTGATCCAGAAAGACTCTGGAGGAGAGTTTCTGTGGGCAAAGAGCGGCTGCTGATTAGGGAGGATCGTTCTGCTATCCCCAGGCCTTCCCAGGCGATGGCTTCGCACACCTCCCTGTTCGTTTCTCATGCCCCTCCCTCTGCCCACAGGCGCACTGAGAGCTGGGTAGGTGCTTTGTCCTGTGTCCCGTGCAGCAGGTATTGGAGTTACCAAAGCCACGGCCCTGCCCTCAAGACAGGCCAGCGAGGGGACCAACATGGAAACATCACAACAACCCCAGGAGAATGGGCGCTTGGCCATCCCACTCACCACTGAAACCCCAGTGCCTGGCACAGGTAGGAGCTGGAAAACTGTTTATTTTTTTATTTTTATTTATTTATTTTTTAAAAAAATATATCTTTATTGATTTCAGAGAGAGGAAAGGAGAGGGAGAGAGAGAGATAGAAACATCAATGATGAGAGAGTCATTGATTGAGCCCGCAACCCGGGCATGTGCCCTGACCGGGAATCGAACCCCGATCTCCTGGATCCTAGGTAGACGCTCAACTGCTGAGCCACGCCGGCTGGGCTAGAAAACTGTTTAAAGTGCATGAGAGACAGAGACAGAGAGAGTGAGACAGATAGATAGTCAGAGACAAAGAGGGAGAGGCCAGAGAAAGAGATACAAAGGAAGATGGTGGTGGGGGGGGAGGCAAAGAGATGGTGAATGAACCAATGATGATGGCACCATTCCAGAAAAGACAGAACATCCACAGCCAGCGGCTGGAGTTCAGGAGAGCCCGTTTTGAGGGTATAGGGCTCCAAGAGCATATAAGGAGCCATCAGAGCCTCCTCAAAGGAGCTCTAACTAAATTCAATGGCTTCAGAGTTTATTGGGTGCTCCCAGCGGGCTTGGCTTGGTGGGATATCAGGACCTTTGGCCAAGAAGGTCTGGGGCTCATGTTTCAGAGAAAGCACTGGTGAAGGTCTGACATAGCACTTACCCTGCCATCAACAAGAGAGGACATAGCTGCCCTGTGGGAAGCCCAGGGTCAGTTTGTCCACAAGGCAGTAGGGTGGCCCATACACTGCAATCCTCTCCAGATCACCCTTTTGTTGACCTGCAGGGTGGTGGCATCTGTGCTGAGTGTCTGGCCCCCCAGCAAAGCACCCCAGGACTCACATTGTAGGCATTCTTAATGAGCTGGACCACGTTGCTGGAGTCTTCTGACAGCTCCCCAACTGCCGATTTAGGGATAATCTCAGTGAGCTTCTGTCAGGCAAGAAGAGCAGGTGGGTCACAGGTGGAACCCTGGGGCCATGGAAAACCTCAGCATCCACTGGTTCGTAACACTCCAGAGGGTTCCTTCTTTCCTGTACAATGTTTCAGACTATACTACCCTCCCCCCTCCAATTTCTTACAGTATTTAGTTAAGACAGTGCATGGTCAGTGGTGTGCTGATAAATTGTTAACATCGGGCTCTCAAGGGAAAAACCCCGTGTTGTAGTGATTGCCAATTTCCTTGGTGTAAATACTCCACCTGGGTCAATTTCACACTATTGATATCACTGAACACAGCTGTGGAGAGATGTGCCTTGCCACAGTTAAATAGTGTTCCCACCATGCAGATATGATCAGCACAAACAACCAGGGCATAGGTTATCAGAAATATGCCAAAGCATCAGGAAGGGGTGAGTTTGGAGCATTTCAATGAGTTGACGTAATTCAATTTTAATAATGATCATGTTAGAAAGCATGTGATAATCGACTCTGGCAGGCCAGGGTCAGCTGGGTCAGCTATGCCCGTGGGGTAACAGGCCCAAGCACCTATAATGTTGACAGGCCTGGGGCCAGGCTCATGGGAACCTTTGGTCCCCTCCTCCCCCACACATGCCTTAGCCTGGTTCAAGGGTCACACCATCATTCATGGACAATTGCTCCAACACTTTATCTTATAGAATTGATGGTTGGGTCAATTTCTTAACTTAAAGCCTTTCTGTGAGTCCCCAGAATGGAGTCCCATTGCCTCCATGGAGCTTATGAGGACTGTTACAGCCTAGTCACCAACCCCTTCTGCCCTCCACCACCCACTCCCTCCACTCCAGCTGTGGGTCTCCGCTGTGGCTTGGGAAACCCAGGCTCTTCCATGTCCTGTCCTCTCCACCGTGTGGAGACTTGGTGCAGGAACAATAGGAGGGTCCAGTGTACACAGTTCTTTCAAACTATTGGTCTCCTTGACACTCTTTTCTCAGGCACATTGTGAATTGGAGTCAGGGAACAGGCTCAGAAAGGCTTGTGAACTACCCGGGGCCTTTTTTATGCTATTGGGAAGGCAGAGTTTGGGGTTCAAGTCTCCTGTCTCAGCTTCCACCCTGTTAGCTTCCATCTGTCTTTTGGAACACAACACTTGCTGCTAAGAGTAAATTACTGGGACCTGCTACAATTTGGTGAGAAGGGGACCGTCATGTCTTATAATACAGTCAACATGGTGGCTGGAAGGTCCTGACCTGGTGGCGTTCATGCAGCTACTGTGGGCGGCCTTTGAACCAGCTGCAACCAGCCAACAGCTGGAAGGGAGTTAAGCCACTGTCCCTGTGGCTTGGTCAGCTCCCAGTTTTCTGTGTGCCCCACAAGGTCTTCCCTTAGAGTCCAGGAAAGGTGAGAGCAGGAACTACTGATGTCACTGTTGGCCACAATCAAGCACCCCACGCCTCATGAGCAGAGGCCACAGCAGGCTCACCTGCGGCAGCAGAATGTTGAACAGGGCTTAGGGTCGGTGAGGGGCCAATAAAGTCTCATGCCCATCAGAGCGAGAGGCACCCCCCTGCTAAACATTGGCTGATGGAAACACACCAAACACACACAACGGTGACCAAAAGAGAAGCTGCTCGAGGAACAGGAGACGATCCCTCGCAAGAGTTCAATGTTACTAAAGAACGTAGTAAGAACTAATTCAGTAAAATCAGCAAGGACCAGGGTTCCTGAGGCAGAGAAGGAAGTGGTCTCAGTGTGTAAACATGTAGGTTCCTGGGGTGGGGGGCGCTGGTGGGGGCCCAGGGTCTGCTGGTAACGCGGGTGTGCTTCCCTGTGGAGTCCACCAAGCCACATGTGTAGGTTTGTGAACTTTCCTGATATATCCTATCCTTCATGAAAACACTTACATACCATGTATGTGGATACAAAACAAGGGAGTCTCCCTAAAATGAACTGGATCTGCTGATCCAAAGCACTTGCTATGTTGTAGCAAAAATGAAAACCTCAGAACCAATGGCAAGACATAAGCCACAAATATACTAAATTTCAAGGGAAACAGTCCTCTTTCATCCACACAGAAATGTCACATTGTAGAAAGAGGCCTCAAACTCCCCAACAGCAGCGCTCACTTCCCTAAAGCCATGGCAGGCCCAGAAGCAGAACCCAGCCTGTGGTGACACTGAAATAGCCATGTTCCACCCTATTGCTCAAGATCTCGAGTCCACTTACCTCATAGGTTTGCACCATTTTCTTGGTTACAGCAAAGATGGGCTGGATGTTGTTTTCGGCTAGTTTGTGCGCCAGCTGGCCCACCGATGGGTAGTCCTGGAGAGAAGATGCCCAGTCAGACAGCCCCAAGGCCAGGATAAGCTGTCCAGACTGACCACCCATACCGCCCAGCAGGAGAGACTGCTTGGGGCCCAGAGGCTGAGCCCTTCCACATGTGGTCCACGGAGCCCTTCCGAATGATGTTGACAAGTGTGTAAAATAACAGGATTATGGGGAAACAAGTTATAATAAAACACAGTTAAGAATGCTGACCCTGAGCAGAAAGATAACTAGCAAGAAAGGCTCTTGCTGTACTGGCTCAAATTTAAAACAGAACCTAGAAGCCGTTTCTGAACAGGGGCCCCTCATGCAAGACACACTTGAGGGAGAAGCCTGCACTAAGCTGCCTGCCTCTTGCATGGAAATCCTGCCTGTACTGCTCCTGACACCTGAGGCAGGCCTTACAGAGAAGCTCCTGGAGCCTGGCTGGGCGTGGCTCAGCGGTTGAGCGTCGACCTAGGATCCAGGCGATCAGGGTTTGATTCCCGGTCAGGGCACATGCCCGGGTTGCGGGCTCGATTCCCAGTTGGGGGCGTGCAGGAGGCAGCTGATCAATGACTCTCTCATCATTGATATTTCACTCTCTCCCTCTCTCCCTCTCCTTTCCTCTCTCTGAAATCAATAAAGATATATTAAAAAAAAAAAAA